TTTTAAAATTACATATATATATATATATATATATATATATATATACAGAGAGAGACAGAGAGAGACAGAGAGACAGAGAGAAAGCACAGGTACATGTACCATGGTATGTGTGGTGGTGTTTAGAGCCCTCCTTCCACCTTTGCATGAGTTCCAGGGATTGAACTTGGGTTGCCAGGCTGAATGGCAAGGGCCTTTACCTTCTGAACCATCTCCCCACCTAGCTTAAAACTGTAAAGCTGCATTAAGATTCCATCTCACCCCAGTCATAATGGTCATCTTCAAGACCACAAATGACAACAAATGCTGGCTTGGATACTGTAGAAGGGAGCTCACACACTGTTGGTGGGAGTGGAAACTAGTATAACTACTTTGGAAATAAGACTGGAAGTTTCTCAAAAAACTACCTGCCATATGACCCAGTTATACCACTCCTGGGCATATACCCAAAGGACTTTATATCCTGCTAAAGAAGGGGCCCTCATGCTCCTGAAGCTGCAGTAATTGACATTTGATAGCAGTACCCAAGGAAAGAGTACATAATGGAGATCACTTTTTGTGTGTGTATGTTTGGGCTGCATCTCCCAGGAGGCTGTCCTCTACCTCTGCATCCTTTTGATTTTACATTAAGTTGTTTGCTTGTTTCTTTTTTCTTCTTTCTTTTTTTCTTTTTTGGCCATTTTTATTTTTTTTTTTTTGTTGGTCATTAAAGTTGTTATGGTTTTCGGCAGATACGCATTCACTGCTTGCATTTAATTAATGTACAAGGAGTTTCCCCTTCTTAACTATCATAAGCCACTTGACAAGTGGTATTTTTCCCAGAACAAAATAATCTATGTTACCCTGGGTTGCTTTTTAGGAGTGAGCAACTTATTGCATGCAGTAATTATTAAATGATATTAGAACAAACCCTAACTCATTCCATTACTGATGGTTCCCAGGCTTTGTCTTAATTTTTGTCACAGCCAAATTTTCTGAAGCAATCTTCTAGAAAAAATTATCTTTTGCCTTTGTAATTATACCTCATTCTGATTTGGTTGACAAACCCAAGCCTGGTCAAAGATTTTAGCTTAGGTTGATTGACCCAAAGGCCCTTGTTCTGAGCTGTATCTGCTGTGAAAAAGTTAGTAGATTTCTGGGTGGAGAGGGCTGTGGGATCAAACCCAGGGCTGTACGTGCAACATAAGCACTCCGCCAACTGAGCTCCATCCCCAGCCCACAGGGGGCTCTCTGAGTATTCTCTTCGGGTCAGTTTTGTTGGATGGCCAGGCAGCCAGGCTTGTACTCTGTTACTTTATCAAACAGGCTGTTGACATTTAACTTTTCTTTCCTGACAGTTCTTTGGTCAGTTGTTACTGCCCGTCCCTGGTTCAGACCACATCAGTTCCGACTCAGTTGTAAGCTCCTTCAAGTCCAACATCACTCTTTTCCTTTCTGCAGCCCCCAAGCCTAACAGAGAATTATATAGGTCTTAGTTGAAATCTTTACCAATTTTTCTGAATTTGGCAGCTGTATAAAGGGAGCTTAATCCCCTTCTCAAGGTAGAAAGTAGAGCGAAATGATAATTCATGAAAACGAAGGTCACCGCTCCAAGGGCAGCTTGGTGCAAGTGTGGCCTTTGGAAGAGCACTTCTCTCCACACTGGGTAAAAGGTGAGAGGAGCATGAAACTGTCTCAGCAGAATTCAGCTTTTGGCTTGGGTGTGGATCTTTCTGTAGAACATGGGATGCCACCACAAGAGTCTTCCTTTCTCTCCTTTGCCCTCAGGGCCAGCCATACCATTTTTTTTTCAAGGTTCTTAGTGTCATTCCACAGGTTTTGTTCTTTTCTCTCCAGTCCCTTGAATTTCCTGGTTGTGTCACTTGTTTTTCTCAGTCTCAGTTCTTTTGTGGCCTCCCTGTCTTCCCTAGCAAGTTTGGATCCATGAATAGCACCACTACCAGCATCTTCAGATCTTTAATCCACTGTGTTATTGCCAATGTTCTAATTCCTAACTGCATCAACAAAGCTACTGATGATACTCCAGCATCTCTGTCCCCTTCCTCACTGCGTGGAGAGCAATTGTGCATGTGCCTGCCTGATGTGGAACTGGTATGTGACGGGACTGAGACCCCGTGCTCAGCTACTTGGATGAAGAGTGTGTCTGCCCAGAGGGAGTACCTTGTCAGCATATGGGCTTATGAAGGGTCTTGTTGCTAAAGTGATTTTTCTAAAATAACTGATGATTTTACTCCTCTGGACAATATTTTTTAAATTCTATTAGCTAAAGTCCAGGTTCCTTAACACAGAACATGTATCTTTTATGACCCTGTCCTGCCTGTCTTGCTGCCTTTTGAAAAGAGTAACAATATGATAAAAAGTCTAAACCAGAACACTTCTAGAATAAAGGAGCCGTTGATGATTATGCTAGGACAACAAACTGAATCTATCTAGACACCTACTTGTGATCTGTAATCTGCCATCCCACACCTTGACTTCTTTCACTATGTTAGTGAAAACTGCCATTAATTTTCCATATACACCTTATTCCCAGATCAGGAGGGCTTGTTAGATAGGGTTCTTTCTATGGCTCTGCTGTGAAGCTAAGGACATTTTAACTCTTCTTGATTAAACATTTACAGAGAAAAATCAAAACATTCTCAATGTCAAAATACTAAGGTTAAATTGGTTACAGCCTCAATGGTGAGATTAAAATATGTTGGTGATGTCAAGAAATGCATATTTGGTCTTCTGTTTCCTGAAAAACAACTTCTAAAATTGTTGGAGTCTCTGAAATAACATTATCCTGTTGTATGCTAATAAGCCTACTGCTTACTGGAGTACTAGGCAGTCCCAGGATGGGTACGGGTTCAGGAAAGACCAAGGCAGGATTGGAGAGTGTGTGCTTTAGGCCTGCCCCTCAGCCTCTGGAAATGGCAAAAGGATTGAAGGTTAGATTCATCACCAATGGCTAGTGACTCAGTCATGACTTTGTAATGACGTCTCAATGAATACTAAGGGTCTGTTCAGAGAGCTTCAGGTAACTGGTCATGTGGAGGTTCCTGGAGGTGGTATGCCTGGAGAAGGCATGGAAGCTGGTGCCCTGTCCCACATGCCTTGCCTTATTCATCTCTTCATCTGTATCACTAACAACAAATCAATATTTGTAAGTACCTGTTTCCTGAGTCTAGTGAGCCACTCTTGCAAATTAATCACACCCCTTTTTGGGAACCCCCACCCCCCAGATGTGTAACCAGTAGTCAAAAGTACAGATTAAATAACCTGAAGCTGTAGGTCCACATCTGACCAGGGAGATCTTGGGATTGAGCCCATAGTAATTTCAGAAATTGAATTGGGTGAAAGGTCATTAACTGATGTCCACTGCTGAGAAATTACTTGCTTGCTGATGGGGAGGAATTCTCACACCTTTTGGGTCACAGAAGTCTTTTGTGTTGGTAATTATGTGACAACAGACAGAAAACAACAGCATCTAAAGCTGCCTTTCTTTGCTCCTAGTTCTTAATTGGCTTTCTCTCCTTAATTCCCCCCCCCCCCACTCTTCCCCTTTCCCCTGCATCTTTATACCCTCTTCCCCACTGGCACCCTCTCATAGACCCCCTCCCACTCTTCTGCCTTTCCCTGGTTTGGTCCCACTTACTTCTTGGGACATGTCAAGGACCATCTGTCCAGTCATCTTTCTTGGACATGTGCTTACTGGGCTCAATGCCCATCCTTTCCTCACAACCTTCTGTATTTTCCTTTTATAGTATACCTAAAAAACATGTATCAAAGTATTCCATTCAGTCAGGCCTGCCTTACCTAGAAGGATATTTGGTATTCAAGGCAGAAGACTTGTCTTTTAATCTCTGTGTACCCAAAATAATAAATTCTCCGTAATAGTTTAGTTTTTGACATGTAGCCATGTCTGGCAGAGAAGGCCTGTAATCCCAGCTATTGGGAAGCTGAAGCAGGAGGATCACAATTTCAGGAGCTGCTGGGGCTACAGACTAAACTGAAGGACTGCGCAAATTAGTGACACCTTGCTTCAAAATAAAAGTGAAAAGAAGGCTAGAATATAGCACGTTGGTGGAGTGAAGCTCTAAATTCAATCCCCCTATCACTAAAAAGAAAAAAACAATTACTGGCATGGCCTGATCTGAACTCTAGGTCTTTTGCCTCCTAGGAAATTTCTTAGAGTGCTGTTCATGGTTTACATATACATTGGAGCTTTCAAGAGGTTGACTTTTGACATTTTGAAGTTGTAGAGCCTATTACACAATTTTTATATCACAAGTCATATAAGAGGAAAAGACGTTCTCATTAAATTCACCCATGTGTTGTCCAAAATGTCAACAGGAGTCTATTAAACTTGTTTCCCATCCCATTGCCAAGGCGGTTCTAGGGGTATTGGAATAGTAATCCTTATAAAATGCAATGATGGATCGGGAAACCAGTAAATAATGGTACTCCAATCCATATTTCCAGAATTCTGATTTGGGTATTTTGAGGAATAGTGTTCAATGTTATCACAATTTTAAGTGTTGATTTGATAAATCTAACGTATTGTTTTTTCCATTTTTCTAGAATGTTTCAAACATTTAAAGAATGGTTCTGGATGGAAAAATTCTGGCTTCCTCCAACAATAAAGTGGTCAGATCTTGAAGATCATGATGGGCTTGTCTTTGTTAAAGCTTCCCATTTGTACATGACAATTCCATATGCCTTCATTTTGATGATCATCAGACATTTCTTTGAAAAGTAAGTAGTGCGTGTGTGTCTTCCCTTCCCATTCCCCTTCTGCAATCATGAAGTCTAAGATTTGGTCTTTAATGAATCTCTTCTTTAAGAGGCTACAGATTCCTGGGTGGAATTTGTGCAATTAGGTGCACACCAGACATTATTTACAGGCTGAAGAAGAAAAAAATAGAAACATGAATACCATTGAGTGCTTTAGTTTTACAGTAATAAAAACTGAGATCAAGACAGGTTAAAGGTGGATGGCCATGACCAACACATGATATATACATGTATGGAAATGTCACAGTGAATCTCATGTATTTAAATTAACATGTGCTAATAGTAATAATAATAAAGGACAGGTTAAACATCACAGAGTTAGTATTTAGTGCCAATTATACGATGTCAGCCCAGTTTATCTTCTACTATACTATGATATCTGGCAGTACCTCTACAGTCCAAGAGGGACAGTGCTAGAAAAATCTATTTGTTGGAGATAAACTATCATTCTAGAATGCCTAGAAAGCACTAGAAATAACTCATTAAGAACCAAACCAAATACTTCTGCTAAGCATAGCTTATTTTAAAGGTTTATTTTAAAGTTTTATAGTTGTCCTTTCTTCCAAAGTGTAAAGAAATCAAAGAGAAAAATGCTAATTTTCTTTCTCAGAAAATAGTAAACTTCTTTATCTTAATTTAATTTGAACAGATATTTCTTCCAACTCTTTATTAAAATTGTGCTAGTGTTCTGATAACAGGAGATAAGTGTTCATATGTAATTTCTGTTGTCTCTGTTCCAAAAAATCCCTATTATCAGCACATCAATTCATTTGAAAAAAAAGGAATATTTTAATGTCAAGAGTTGGAAAAACTTAAGACAAACTCTGATAAAGATCATGTAGTCCAAGACTAACTGTAATGTAGATCACATGTTTATAACCATTTGCAGGGTCCTTATCTTGAGAGCTTGTTTGACTAGCTCAATTCCATGGACTTGCCAAAAAGTTTTGTACAAACAGAAATTTCGCTTGGGTCAACAATGCATTGTTGTTATGGGAGGAAGAGAGTCCCCTGGGTGCCACTAAACTGTAGTCAAGCACATTTGAGAAGGCCTTTCCCTTACAAAAAGCTTTTCAAGGCCAGCCTGGTCTACATAATGAGTTCCAGGACAGCTAGCTGGGGCTACAGGGAGACCCTGTCTCAAACAGTCAAAAAAAAAAAGAAACCAATTTATTTTTATTTGTGTGTGTGTGTGTGTGTGTGTGTGTGTGTGTGTGTTTATACCACATGCATATTGGTGACTGCAGAGGCCAGAAGAGGCCATTAGATCTCTTGGAGGTGGAGTTATAGGCAGTTGTGAGCCTTCCAAGTGGGTGCTGGAACTGAATTTGGATCCTCTAGAAGAGTAGCAAGTGCTCTTAATCACTGAACCATCTTTCCAGCCTTTGTCCTTCCCCTTTAACACTTTAATTTGATTTTTTACTTACGTAGTTGGATTTTCCAGATAGTACATAAGAAAAGTGAAGTCTGCCACTGCACCTCCAAATGAACAAATTACTCATTACTATCCTGAACTATTTGATTGCCTTATTGTCTCTCATGACCACTGAATTTGGCATTTGGGTTCTTATTCCCACTGCAGATTTCCTAGTTTTCAGAGGGCAGGTCTGTCTCTTTCAGTTTGGTCAGAGCAGTGAGACAGATTATTCTTTTGGTTGCAAAGTAGCACAGCTGTGGAGTACCAAATTATTATGTCTTGATCTTGGCCTGCCTAGCAATAATGAAGAATAAATCTATTCTTTTAACTCTTAGGGCCATTCTCGTTTATTTTCAAAGGATTAAGTGTAACCAGAATCCTGTTTTCTAGCTCGTTATTGTTTTAACTTCCAGTAACTCATTCTTAGTTTTTCCACTCTCTGCCAAGACAGAAACATGTACATTGTTCCACTAGCCTCATATTTCGTTCAGTGCAATAGAAAGAATATTTAACATGGTAGAGAGAGTATACTTTTAAAATTAAAATAAAAATTAATAATTTTACAGGATCCTATATCATTTGTTGTAGGTTAATTCATCTATACCATAAATAAAATATTGCCTATTCCTTACACTTGGTAAGAACTTAGAGTGTAGATGGTATATAAAATCATAAGTGGTCTCTAGGTGAGCAAGCAAGAGATTAGTGACCTAACCAAGCTTTCGGGGGGGTAGATCCAGGACTCCAGGTTTACTGTTGGTTTGAATTATGTCAGTGCCTCTTGAATGTTACAGTACAATGCTGCTGATGGTAAAAGAGATAAATAAACATCTCTTGGGAATCAGAAAGACATAGTTTAGAAAGTTGACTGCAAATATGAAACTTTCAGAACTATCATAAAAGTTCTTGAAATTTTGATACTGTGTTTTAGCATATCCTGCAAATGAGGCAATTTCTTTTCTTTCCTTAGACTGTACTTAAAGTTACATTTTCTCATTCTATGAAGTCCTCAGGAGCTGTCATCTGGCTGACTCATTTTTGTCCTTTAGCCCTAGTCACAAGGCACTAGTATAGGAAGAAATATCCCTTTTCAGAAGAGTAGAGAGACAGATGAATGCAAAACACAAAAGTTAGAGTCTCTGAAAGTGATTCACATTTGCTTTGTATTTAGGATTTCCTTTCCATGTAAGTTTTAATGTATGGTTTATGTTTAAATTATCTATTTTCTTATTTATTTTGACCAAGATTAGTTGTTTCTAGCTATTTTGTCTTCTATATATTCCTTTTTAAAAGATTTATTTATTTTATTTTATGTGTATGAGTGTTTTGCGTGAATACATGTAAGTCACCATATGAGTGCCTGGTGCCCATGGAGGCCAGAAGAAGGTGTTGAATTCCCTGGAACTGGAGTTGTAGGCAGTTGTAAGCCACCAGGTGGGTGCTTGGAACTGAACCCAGGTCCTTTCCAAGAGCAGCAAGTGCTCTCAACTGCCAAGCTATCTCTCTAGCCCCTCTATGTATTGTTATATGTGTTTGACATATGATTAAAAGAGATCTATTCAAAGTTCAACACATGAGAACTAAATAAATTTTCTCAAAGTAGAGTGTGGACCTGAATCCAAGGCAGAGGTAGAAGTTGTAGGTCCCCTCTTTGCTTAATTGTATACAGAATAAATCCCCCTACCTCTACTGGTTCTCTCTGTACCATAGACTCCCGATGGGTTAGAATGAACTTCTTTCTTTGAAGAAAGATAAGGGAGATGGAGTAATGCATCTGCAGCAATTTACAGGACTTGAAAAAGATTGTAACTGTTACTTAGGGTAACAAATAGACATGAACTGCCACATTAGAGTTAAAAGTTGTCTGAGTTTGCACTGTTCCTGGTATTTGCTCTAACACACAAGCAGCTCTGCCCATGTCACTGAATCCTGAGGAACATGAAATCAGTCTTAATACCAGGATTGTACTTAATGTTTAGGAGAAGAATTTAAACTTAAAGTAGTTAATGCCTGCCTATGGCTGATTCTTTTTGTCTATTAGAGAAGTTGGAAAACAAAGAGGAGGAGGTCCTTGGGGCTTTTGTCTCCCAGTAACCAATGGAGTGACACAAAAAGAGGGGCTGTCTAGGTCTGAATGGGTCTGCAATGATAGCAAACTTCAGGGATTCCTTTTCTGGTAACTTTGAACCATTTACGCAGGAGCAGGCATTTACCATTCTTTATTTTTTCTTCTTTTCTGAATTTTTTTCTATTCCACATTGATAAAATGAAAGTTCAGGCAAATTAATCTCAAAAGTCCTTTCTAGCTAAGGCTTATAATGCCATTTCTCTCTTTCAGTTCATCAAACATTTATTGTGTTCCTTCTCTCATTTGTTTTTGAAAATAGATTTTAATTGTCTATTCATATTTATCAACATTTGTGTTAGATAGAGTGTTGACATCCTGTATTTTTTGAAGGGAAATGATAGAACTGAATTAATATTTACATACCTGCTGTGTTATATTAAAATGTTGTTTCTGTCCTTAAAGTTAACAGAGAGGAACATATTTCCTCATCTTCTTTAATGATTCTACTGTGTATTAATCCCTCACATCATAGGCATGCAATGGTATGTGTGCTTACCCATATGGCTAGCTCCCCCTGAGCTTCTAGACAGAAAAAGAATGCTAGTGTTCATTTGACTTTGAGGTGGTTTTGATTCTCTGATTCACTAATTTGATTTTGCCTTGCTTGTAGATTTTACCCCATTTGTTTTGCCTCTAACACTGAGGAGATTGCATGATTGGAATTGGTAACATGGCCTTATGAAAACATTCCCTTTTGTATTTTATTCGTAAAAACACTGTTTTCTCCAGTTGAAAAATTCAACTTCTAGGTTGGACAAACTACTTTCATTTATCTAACACCCTGAAAATACATTTTTAAAGGTTTAGGTCACTTTAAGAACAACCTAGTGTTTTGGGGGGTGCTTAGGCCAAGGTGAGGTTAATGAAGTATATTCCAATCACGATGGCACAACACATTGCTACTGGTCTGTAGGAGCGCTCTCCTGGGTGGTTAGAATCCTTGTTTGCATCAGTGGCCTCTTCGCTGCGCTTCCTGCTCCCAGTCTTCTCTCTGCTGCCTCCTGATGTGCTTGATGGCCCTTTGTTCACATGATTTAGGAAAACATATGCTTTAAGTATATGTAATGTTAGTTGTATAAATGATATGGTACTGAGGCCTAACTCTCCCTTCTTAGAAACATCAACACTATGTTTTATGATCTATCTTCATTGTTCTGTGTGCATCTGGCACATAATTACTTTGTTTATATTTGCCTCTGAAATGCAGGTACCTTTTCTAAAGGAACTTAGTCTGGCTAGAAGTTGACTAGTTTATACATTTTATTACATTATGTTATGAAAATTTTTACTCAACTTATGTATATTAAAAATAAAGGGGGCCATAGAGATGGCTCAGCAGTTAAAAACACTGACTGCTCTTGCAGAGGACCCAGGCTCGGCTCCCAGCACCCACATGATGGCTAACAATAGTCCTTA